TCAGGCAGGAACCTGCAGCACTGGTCGTGAACCGACAGTGCATGGAGCTCACCTATCCTTCTGGCTGAGGTTATAGCCAAGAGGAATACAGTTTTGAGGGAGAGCCATTTCAGATCAGCAGACCCAAGAGGCTCAAAGGGGGATTGCTGAAGTGCCCTGAGGACCACTTCCAAATCCCAAAGAGGGACTGATGGTCTGGTCTTACAAACCGCCAGCCTCTGAGAGCCTCTGAGAGCCTCGGAGAAACCAGGAAATAAGGGAACATTCCTGCTCTTTCAGTGTGGAATCACCAACGCAAACTGCCTTAATCGCCGCCACAATCCCTCGCAGGGTCATGGCCGACTTCCCTGCCTCCAGCGATAGGACAGAATGATAGGTGTCCTTTAATGTAGTGTAGCAGTGGTCCAGTATGTTAGTGTTCCTGGTGAGACACTTAATATGCTGTCTGTACTTTGGAAGTTCATGGCTGAGGTTTGCTCTGTTGAAGTCCCCGAGAACAATGAGCAGGGAGTCTGGGTGGTTTTTCTCCATGTTGGTTATCTGGTCACCCAGGTGTAGTAACGCCTCACTAACACAGGCCTGAGGTGGAATGTAAACAGCGGCCAGAACTAACGAGGAAAACCCGCGGTGAATAAAAAGATTTACAGTTTATGAATAATGTCTCTAAGTGAGGGCTGCATGATTTCTTCAGCACTGTGACATCTGTGCACCAACCTTCATTTATGTAGAGATAGAGTCCTCCTCCCCTTGTTTTTCGCGTGAGCTCCGTTAAGCAATCTGCCCGGAAGAGATTAAATCCCATCAGGAAAAGTGCGCTATCCGGGATGTGCGTGGTGAGCGAGGATTCGGTGAAACAGAGGGCGGCAGATCTTTTGGTCATGGAACTGCCAGTCTGCTGTCAACAAAACTGAATTTATCACTACTTATGCTAACGCATTATCTCTTGGGCTACTGGCACTCACTGAGGCTTGGATAAAACCAGAAAACATCGCTACCTCCGCTGCGCTGTCCAACAATTACTTTTTCACTGGGCTCTTAATTTCCAACAAATGGAAATTTGCACACCTGCTACCCCCGAATCAATATGACTCCTTCGGATATCATGCTGTCTTGGTGTCCGCTCTGGTAAATGTCTCTGTGATTGTCATCTACTGTCCACCGGGACAAGTGGGTAACTTTGTGGACGAGCTAGACACAACGCTGTCTTCAATTCCAGATCATGACTGTCCGTTACTTGTCCTTGGTGACATGAACATTCACTTGGACAAATCAAACTCAACAGACTTCCTGTCTCTGATTCAGTCCTCTAACTCGGGTTCTCAGCCCCTTGACCCACAAAGCTGGCAAGGTGCTTGACCTTGTTCTTGTCTGAAACTGTCCCACCGAGTGCCTAACTGTCACTCCTCTACACATGTCTGACCACTTTTTCATTCAGTTCACGGTATGCCTACAGGAACAGCCCATTGTTCCAGCACCGTTGATCTCACACCGCCGCAATCTCCAGAACCTGTCTCCCACTCACTTTGCCTCAGTGGTAGGGGGTGGCTGTGGCTCAGGAGGTAGAGCGGGTTGGCCAATCCCTGGCTCCCCCAGGCTGCATGTCATGTCCTTGGGCAAGATACTGTTCCGCCAGTGTATGAATGTGTGTGAATGTTAGTTTCTGTTTGAGCACTTAAACTCAGTGAATGAATGTGTGTGAATGGTGAATGCAGATGTAGTGTAAAAGCGCTTTGAGTGGTCGAAAAGACTAGAAAGGCACTATACAAATACGGAGCATTTACATTTACATTGGTAGCATCTGCTCTACCTTCCTTCAACACATTTTCCTCACTCAAGGTCAATGATTCCACACAATCTCTTTGCTCTACTCTGTGCTCGTGCCTGAATAGCCTGTGCCCTCTATCCACCAAGCCTGCCCGCCCAAACAGTCCCACCCATGGCTAACTGATACCATCTGTGGGCTCCGTACTGACCCTGCTGACCTTAAGGGCTACCAACTGCTCCTATCCTCCTTCTCAACAAGCATCAGTGCTGCCAAAACTGCGTTCAATAAGCAGTGCCACTGACTCAAGAAAATTATTTTCCACTTGCTACTAAATCCTCCTCCACCCACAAACTTGTCTGCTGATACCTTTGCTGCCTTCTTCACAGGCAAAGTGGTGGCTATAACTAGCCTATTCTCTAAATCTGTCAAATCCTCTCACGGAGAATGAAGTATCAGAACTCCTGACCCATAGCTGTCCCACTACATGCCCACTGGACCCGATTCTTACGAATTTCCTCCAAGCCATATCTCCTACTGTGGTCCTGGCAATCACTCATGTGATAAATACTTCTCTGGCTTCAGCCCTCACTCGACCCAACTCAAATCGAGAACTATTGGCCAGTTTCTCTTCTACCATTTTTATCCAAAACTATCAAATAGGCAGTCTTCAAACAGGTCTCAGAATTCCTCTCACGGAATGACCTCCTAGATCCATATCAGTCTGGTTTTAAGAGTGCCCACTCTACTGAAACGGCTCTTCTGTCTGTAACAGAAGCCCTAAGGTCAGCTAAAGCTGCAGCCCAATCCTCGGTTCTTATCCTGCTTGACCTATCAGCTGCCTTTGACCCAGTCAATCACATGATCCTCCTATCTCAGGTAAAGCACTCCTGTGGTCGAATCCTACCTCTCGGGGCGTTCCTACAATGTTTTGTGGCAAGGACAATTATCCTCCTCCCACTGCCTCTCCACAGGGGTACCCCAAGGCTCAGTGCTAGGGCCCCTTCTCATCTCAATTTACACCACCTCACTGGGGCTGATCATTTGCTCGCACGGCTTCTCTTACCACTGCTACACAGACGATACGCAACTCTATCTATCCTTCCTGCCAGACGACCCCACTGTCTCAGCGCGACTCACAGACTGTCTCTCGGACATATCTGCATGGATGAAGGCTTGCCACCTTCAACTAAACCTCTCTAAGACTGTACTCTTGGTCATTCCAGCAAAGCAATCTACAAATTGGCTCCTCAACCATCACTCCAACCAGGGTGGTGTCATGATTGATGACCAGTTGTCCTTTTCAGACCATGTTGCTGCTGTCTCTCGGTTGTGCCGCTTTGCTCTATACACCATCAGAAAAATCAGGCCCTACCTTACTCAATATCCCACCCAGCTTCTGGTACAGGCCATGGTTACCTCTCGCCTTGACTATTGCAATGCCCTCCTCCAGCTTATGTGGTGAAACCCCTACAAATGGTTCAGAACGTAGCAGCGCGTCTGGTTTTTGATCAACCCATGTCACTCCATTGCTGTGTGACACCCACTGGCTACCCATGGCCTCCAGAATCAGATTCAAGTCACTAATGCTTGCATACAGAGTGACTACAGGGTCCTTCTACGTTCCTCCAATGAACGCCGCCTGTGGTGTCTGTGACACCACGATGGTGGAACTAGCTACCACATGCCATCAGAGCAGAGGCGTCCCTCTCTAACTTCAAGAAGCTCTTGAAACCTCATCTCTTCCGAGAACTCTCCCCTCTTGTAACACCTCTAACTCCTAACATTTAACATGCACTTCCTGTGCTCTTCTTCTTCTATCCCTTACAATTATCTTGTATTGATTGCACTTTTTGTTAACTCTAACTTCCTTCCCTAGGTATTTACCCCATTGATGCGATATGTGCCATTAGCACTTACTTGTATTTATTGCTGCTTTTATTAATATGTATTGTCAGTTGTAGATCTCGTGCTTTATTTTATGCTGTGTTAATGATTGTATGTTGTTCCTCAAATGTAAGTCGCTTTGGATAAAAGCGTCTGCAAAATGAGTAAATATAAATGTAAAATGTAATGTATGCTTCATTGCACTGTGTACATACTCCTGCATCCTTTGCACTCTGCTCACTGCACTGTTTGTCAATATGTCAATATTGTTTTTGTTCATAGTGTTTATTTGTGTTGTCTACACTGAAGTCTGTGTCTGATTTTATTTTATTTTTATTATTTTATTATTTTATTGTGATTTTGTATTTCTGTAATAGTAAGCACATCGTGAGCAATGTACAATCCTGAGTCAAATTCCTCGTATGTGTACACATACCTGGCAATAAAGCTGATTCTGGTTCTGATTCTGAGCTCTAAATTCATCATGAAGTCACAAAGTAACGGAGGACTCCTATGCTAATTTCAGTCCCTCCCAAATCGATTATCTTGTTGATAGTGCTGCAGGCTCGCTGCGAATGACACTGGACTCTGTAGCCCCTCTAAAAAAGAAAATTATAAAACAAAGACAGTTAGCTCCATGGTATAATACTGAAACACACAAATTTGCGGAAACTTGAGAGGAATTGGCGTTCCACCAAAGTGGAAAATTTAATTTTATAGTCTTAAGATAGTCTTAAAACTTATAGGAAATATTGACACCTGCTGAACAACCTCAATTGATGACACACTGCAACAAAATAAATCTACTCTTTTTGGTAATTATGTCAAACACCAAGGATACATCTTTAGATTATATGTAGAAACAAAATGTTCATTTTCATGACAGAAAGTTCCAAAATCGTTACAAAATTGCTTGACTCAGGTTTTCACTGAGATTAATTTGAGAATTGTAAATGTAAAGCCAGAAATTGTGGTGTGATATAAGTCAGAATTCTCAGATTAAATAAAAACAATTGAGATTTATGCAAGAAGAGACGTTATGTCATAGTTGCCACCCACAGGAGACCAATCTGGAAATTAAAAACACAGTAAATAACGACATATGTACTTAATCGTACAATTCCAAGAATAAAGTCAGAAATTCTGAGAATAAAGTGAGTATAGTAAGAAAAGAGTCAGAAATGGATGTTTACATCAGAATGTATTTTTGTCATGTTTTGCACCCCAGAGAGAGACTAATCTTTACCACATAAATTTGAGAAACACTTTGTTATGGTCCAGTGCATACAGTATGTGCCCTAATTAAGGAAAGGTTTGATCATACAGCAGTTTTGTTTCTTATCTCAAGCAGGCAGCAGTGAGTCATGAATTGAAGAGTTGGTGTATGTCCCTAGTGAAAGATATGGACGTCCACTTCCCAGCCAAACCCCAGTATTACAAACTCCTCCCCTCACCGTCTATGGAGCAGTCTGTGGCAGACACTGACCTGGAATCACTCCCCCTGTTGGTTTCTGGAGACAGCAGCACTTCACTGGCTACCTACGTCAACATCCTGCCATCTAAATCAACCCACAGTCTGGGAGGGCCAGATCAGGAGCAGATGGGAAGTGGGACATACTTTGAAATAAAACTGGACAGGTCACCAGGTATGTCTTCTACAAAGCAGTCAGTATAGACCAGGGTTGCAAACTACTACCTGGGCAACTGTGGCCCACTGCCCACAGTGAAGTTTTAAAAATAAACTAGAATATGGCTTGAGTTTATTTCTAATAAATTGCACTGTATGTACATTACATATCCTAGTTTAAGCATTAGGTGTCACTGTCATCCTGAACAACTACTAGCAAGCCCTCTCACTGCAATTCTTAATTTGGCCTACAATGATGGATTACTAGTCAATAAAAACATTTACCTCAGTTGATTAGACATGGTGGAACCGAAAATATGGAAGATAGTGAGTGAATTTGGCCTGTGACTTATTATATTTTTCTGTATATGCCCCAGAATCAAAAACATTTGGCCACCTCTGATCTATACCATTTTAAAGGGACATTCAGCAATGATTTATAGATGCTATCACTGCAACCACTGGCGGACTGACCACTGGGAGCACCGGGAGTTTTCCCTGTGGCCTGAGAGCCATTTTGGCTTACCATTAATTGTGAACTTGATCAGTGGCAGCAAAAATACAGCAAGTTATAAAACAATATAACAAGCAGGAGAATTTGCACAGCAGGTGCGTCTCAAGGGCTTTTCAGACAGCAACTCTCCACCTACGTACTTGCTTGGATCCATGGGGTTGCACTGCGCTACTCATGTGAACAGTTGGAATTATTGACAGATAGATTTGTTTATTTTTGTGCTGTTTGCTTTATGGACACCAGTGACATTGTTACAACATTGTTATCATTTGAGGTTTTTCTGTATAGTAGTGCTTTTTTTTTTTGCATTACACTTATTTTGATTGTTGTAGCTTATGTTCAAGCTCACTGAAGATGTGTGTGAAGTTTTTTGATCCTTTTTTGTGTCTACTTGTTGGTCAGTCCCAAATGTTTGCATTTTGTAATGTGAATAACTTTCTGCCCAGATGAACATGCTGGCCAAATCTATACCTACTTACACCCATTACATCAACAAACTCAACACAGACAGTCTCTAAAATTAGCTGTCTGGTGGTTTGTTTGAACAGGGTGGCCTGGGATGGAGTTTTCCCTAGCATTCTGAGCATTTTACCACAGCACTAACGCCAGAAAAAAACTGTTGCTATGCTTTCGTGTCATTTGGGGCACACGGTTTATGTCCTCTGTGTCACACACACACACACACACACACACACACACACACATACACACACAGCCAGAGAGAGACTCTGCTGTCCAGAATATGATTTATTTAACTGACAGTTTAGATTAGTCTCAGTGAGATATTATTGAGTTTGTATTTTTCTGCTCTAGAAACAAATATACATCAACACTATTTAAATTATCATTTAAAATGATAATTAAAAAAAAACAATGAAAAAGAACCTATAAGAACATTGATAAAGAACAGCTGGTTAGAGGCTTCACCACTGAGAACATCCCAGTTTACATCCCTTCACTATAAGTCTGAGTGTAATGTGGAAAACTACAACCTGTATTCTGTAAATATCATTATGGTAATTGTCTAAAATCATGTGAAAATGCTTTGTTTTTAGTCAAACAACTTTTGCTTATGGGAGGATCCCCAAACCACTTGACCACCGCAACCACAGCCTTTTGTTCTGTGCTGTGTATATTTTCCTTTGCTTTGCTTTTTTGTCCTTGCCAATCAAATTCCTAAACTCATGTAAACCTAAGATCTGTTAATGTTAGAGCCTCATTAACTGATTTTTTCCTTCTCTAAACCCACACTGCTCCTTTCAGATGACTATAAGAACACAGTTCTGTTTCCTCTGCCTGCCAACCACACCTCATGCCTCCTGCTAGGCTCTGTTGACCCTCTCCGGCAGCCCCCAGGAGTGCAGGACAGCTTGATAGCAGCAGTGGTGCCACAGTGTGGGGAGGGCTTCTCAAGCAGCAGCAGCCAGCCCAGCATCCACAACCACAGAACCACACTGTTCCGACATCGGGAACACATCTACGACAGACAATGCAAGAAACAGTTTGGAGAGCTGAAGAGTGCCTGCAGGCATGCAGAGATACACTCTGAGGGCACTAGAACACTGGAGTTCTTTATCAACCATCGCACTAAGCCCACATTCACCCAGGAGAGGAACAATCTGCATGCTATGGCGGTGAGTGTAATAATGGGTGAGATGAATCGGCCACCACAGCAAGCAGTGACAGGCTTGGACTGGACCTGTCAATCAAGCAAACATGCTCCAAAATGTGCTTTTCTTTAAGCCATAGAAGATAATTCCTTTCTGGCCATCATTTCCATCATTTTCATAAGTAAAGTTGTACTTACAAAATTAATAGCTGGAGACATCTCTAAAAACAAAGTAAAGATGCAGTCAGACAATGAGAACTTATTATTCAAACTGTCTGTTGTAAACGTCCATCACAGTTTACAGACCCACCTTCTGCTTCAGCTATGACCCACTGTACCTGGTATAGTTGATCTCTGAATAAAGTGGTGTAGATAATCTGGGGAAAGTTTTGATGTGTTTACAATCTGTCTGATCATTTTTCCAGACTTTGTCGTAGTGATTTCAGCAATTAACTTTGTGAATGCAATTTTTGTAACTGATGGAAAGGCTGGCCAGAACTATGATAGACAGAAATACGAGAAGAAGAATACGAAAGGAATAGTTCAACATTTTGGGAAGACATTTTTCTCATTTTCTGTGAGAGTGAGATGAGTAGATCAATATCAATCTCATTTCTGTGTGTTAAGTGTGTTAACAAGTAGAGGCTTACACACTTAAAGTAATGCTAAGCTAAGCTAATTACCTCCAGGTTCTGTTACATAAGTTTTTCAACTTTGGGGAGAAACAGTTTCCCGCATGCTCCCAGTCTTTATGCTAACCTCACAAAAATGCACAAAAAAATCTGAATTCAAGCTGATCCTAAAACTTTAAGTCTGTTGTTGCCTTCCTGTCAGGTGACTCAGCGTTACTTTGAGACTGTGTCGACTCAGTTGGAGCTTTGGTACGAGAGGAAGATTGTAGAGGTGGAGCAGCAGACGGAGCTCAGAGCCCAGCAGGACACGAAGGAGCTGCTGCAGCGAATAAAAACACTGGAGGAGGAACTTCAGAGGCTGAAGACCAATGAAAATGCAGAAAGCTGATGCACCCTGTGACATTGACTAATGTTGGAGGGAGACAGCAGACAGCAAAAACACAAAATGAAAGTCAAAGTCTTAATGTAAAGACAACCTAATAAACAAATAAAAATGACAAACAGATGTTATATGTACTATGTAATATACATGTTATTTGTAAATGTATTTTAGTAATGTTATGACCTGTCTCAGACGACCACAACAAAAGGGAGACACCGTGGGAGCATTTAAGAAAATATGTTTATTTAACCCAAAATAATCCAAATTAAGAATTGTGTCAAAGTAAAATTATTAAAGTATGTGGTATGAACATCAGTGGTTTCAGTTGTGTCAGGACAGGATGATGGATGCATGTGTGTGAGGGTGTTGTAATGTGCAAGAAGCAAGGTAAATGTAAAACCACAGGTGGACCCTTTGGAGAGCCAGGGAGGTCTATCACCTCAGCCCAGCCTCAGTTCTTCAAGTGCAAGGGGGAGGGATTCAAACCCATGCTCTACTGGGTGAGCTTATTGATAACCCATAACTGGTCATTAAATAGCTTAAATAGATTATTTGTTCACCACTGGACAGAGAATTTTGTTACGTCTGCCATAAAATTTGGCAGATGCTGATGTCACTAATTCTAATAGTTAAAAAAAAGATTTTTCTTATTGAATTTATTGTTCCATAAGACGTCGCCTTTAATCAACAACAAATAAAATGGCATTTTATTCAGATTACTGGCAAGTTTATACTTTGTTTAGTGTAGCTGTGTTGCATATGTTAAATGGGGCAAGAGTTATTTAGTGACAGTTAACTGTATCTGAAGTAATAATATAATAGTAATAATAAGAATAATAATAGTTTAGTCATACATCACTACATTGTATGAACCCAGACTCATTTAAAGATTTCAGGGCTAAGCCCCAGATCTTCATGAACCCTAGACTCAGATAAACTGGAACTTTTTGGATTTTAAAATACAGCTGCATGCTTGCCTGAATTGTGTGTCAAAAGAAGAAAAAGAAGAGGTTCAGCTGAACTGCAGCTTAACAGCATGTAAACCGGATGTATGTTGAAGTTACCTTTTCAGGTTGGTTTGGCGCCACTTGTGGTTACTGGTGGAAAGCACTGCCGAACAGCAAGTGTGCTAATACTACGGATCACAGAATTCTGGGAACAGCAAAACAACTATTTTCGTTTTAATTAAGAAATAAGTCAGGCAACCATTTCAAAAATAAATCCATCATTCTGTGAGCAACCGTGATCTGACGATATGACTCGAACAGCAGGGCACAGTGAAAGGAGGTGGATACCTCTCTGACGAGTTGGAGGTGCGCAAGCAGTTGAGGTCTGGTGTCAACAAACAGAGGGACTAGACAGTCCCAGCCTAGTTGCGCAGCTGTTAGTCAGGCCATGGGTAGAGCTCCTGATGAAGCAGCCATTGGTTGTGTAAGCCAATGATCCTGGTGTGACATCTGGCATTTGGCCTCAGCAACCACAGCCGAAGCTCCTGAAGGGAAAATCAAATCAATGCTCCATTGACTCTGTCAGAGCGCGATGGAAACCTAATTAAAGGCCCTCCAGGCACAGCTGGTCATTTTATGCTGCCAAGCACCAGAGCTCTCAAGCCAGTAATATGTACTATTGCTTTACTCTGTGCACTGGGGGTGGGGGTGGGGGGGGTCCCCTCTCTGACCAGGATAGTGTCAGCATTCAGTATGTTAAAAACACATGCCTATGTCATTGTTAAATTGTTTGCTTATGTACCATACAAAAGTCTACAGAATTAATTAACAATGCTCTGACAGTATTGAGACATTTACAATAGGTATATAAAAATAAATATTTAACTTTGAGGGAAAAATTTTAAAATATTCCCATGTGAATGGCACAATGTGACTTTTAAGCAGTATAAAGTAAACTGAAAGTGACATTGTTTTGGTTATTTTCAACTGGAGATTTTATTATCCACTATTTCTTTTTAAAGCAGCACACATTAATGTTTCCATTAACAATGGATGAAAATGGATCAAATGGCTATGTGTAATGTTAATGATGGATTAGAACCTCACTTTTCAACTCGTATTTTAATACAGGAACTAACACTAACTAAAATAGAGTAGTTGTAAGTAACTTTTTGGAGGTAATTAACTTGAGTATTTCCATTTTCTGCTACTTTATACTTCTACTAATATTTTACTTCACTATGTTTATTTGATAACTTTGGTTACTGTTCACTTTACAAATTCAAATTAATAATACAAAATATAATCAACTAGTAAACTATATCATGTTTAAGATAAGGGGGGAAATTCAATAGCAGTATAAAGTAGGTAATGTTAGCCCCGCCTTTACCAACTGCATAATTTTAGTGATATTCATGCATCAATAATCACAATTCAGTGATATGGTATACATTATTTCGAAATGGGCCAGTCTGCATTTTGACTACTTTTACTTTTGGTACTTTAAGTACATGCGATGCTGACACTTCTGTGCTTTTACTTAAGTAGAATATGGAATGCTATGCTTTTTCTTCCATCACTTCTAAAAACATTTTAAAGCTGCATCAATTTCAAGTTAAAATTTTTTGGCTACTTATTGTTCACTATGGCAAACAGAAAATCCTAGGTTTCGAAGTTTGGTTGGAGGACTTAAATAACATAAACAATTATTATAAGGTCTTAATTCAGAAAGATTTGGATTGGAAGTTTTTGAGTCATTTTATAGCTGCAGTAATTGAGCTGAACAAGCTGTAAAAGCTGGACAATTTGCATTCATCCAGAGTCATGTTTGTCTACCTGCCTATTTTCACTTCTCACTTTCTTTGGTCTCCACCAACTCCAGAGAACGGCAGACAAAATATCTGGCTCTTCTATGTTGCAGGTAGTGAACTGTGGGTTTATCAGAACTTTTTCACTGAAAACAGCTGCCTGCTGCTGCTGGAAACCAGACTTAAACCAGAGTGACATTAAACCAAAATGTAAAGAACTAAAATACAATATGCTAACAAGCTCAAAAGCGTGGAAGTGTGGAAGATGGCACGAGCTATCAAACCACATTATCCACATTTGATAGGTGAAATAGTTCTAATAGTTATTTGAACCTAAATGTTAAAGCCTTACTGCAGGCTCAGTTACATCTTTATGTTCAGGACACCAGAAGCAGGGCCTATGTAAAAGACCATCCATAAACAAATATCACCGCTCTCTGTCAGAAAGGGTGATATTGATGGCACTGGTTGGAGTTGGCACTGCTGGCATGGGAGAAAGGGGGGTGGTGGGGGGCACTGTCCCGTCGGGAGGCGATCGATGCTCACATCCTGTGAACCCTGCATGTAACACGGGAGAGCACTACCAACACACAGGCAGCCACAGCACACAGACACAGAGAGACAAAGACAGAGGAGAGCAGAGGGATGTGGACTGGGGTTTGGGACCAGCACAAGAAGATCACCAAACACCTCCATGGGGTAGCTATACAGACACAGTCAATTCCTAGGATGCATTTATAAACATGAAGTACATCAAGACGCAAAGAGGGAAGCCATACCAGTGATATGTAAGTGCTGCTGAAATTGTTGATACATTGAGTCATTTGGTGTAACATCATGCTTCCAAAAGTGTGCAACACATCGTTCCAGGAATGACTAATGGAAAATAGTTTTCTCAGATGGCCTAAATATAAACTGTAAATGTCATACTTATATATTATATATTTTGTATTGTAAAAAGAAAGTAATGGTTACGACTGAATTTTTGACCTCCAACAGAAAACCATACTCAATTGGTGTATTTCATTGGATCTTTATAAAAGGGAAAATACACCTTAAAATAGAATTTGCTTGTTATTTCTATGGTATCCCGCAGGTCAAATTTATTTTGTGTTTGAATGCCTCTGTATCATAGGTTGTCTGGTGAATGACAATGAGGTGGTCAGGGTAATATTTGGAAAGAGGATCACTCTAATGACTCCAATGACATGATTTTATTACCAATGTTTCAATCCCATGTTGAAAGATTCATGTCTCTGAACCCCAAACTGTTGTGATTATGTCATACAGAGATGACTTCTGAAGCTGCACCATGGACTGACTAATGTAAGAATTGCTAGAGCTCTATGAGAGCAGCTTTTGTGATTTAGTGTTGTACAGTAGAAGTCATACATTCAATGTAACTCATTTGATTGAATATATAAAACAAAAGTCCAAAAACTTAACCAGTGTTTCACTTTCTGTCTTCAATCTTCATTTCATTGGGCAATATTTGTTTTTTAATTGCATTTTATTTCAAAACACTGTACATCTAAATTCTGTTTTAGGGTGGGATTCCCCATTTATAGGCAATTCATATGTAATTGTACTTACAGTTTTTTGTAAATAAGTGGCATCCCAAAACCAAACCACAGTATGGCTTCTCTCTTCTTCACTTTGGTATGTTCTGGCAGTTGCTTGGGAGAGGGATAGGTTTTTACAGTTATCTCCTTCAGTAAGTCAGTATGACTACACCTGACAACACATGCTGACGTCACACCCGAGTTGACAGTGTTCCAGTTAACAAGTCAGAAAACCTCGCTCAGCCATTGCTTACAACTAGCCAGGTTAGCTATTGATACCCTGGCTGATAAAAAAAAAACGCATTGTGCGGTATTTACTCATACTAAACACTGTAGCAACAGATGTTGGACAACACTTTGTGCACGAACATTTCTATGAGTCATAGCATCCTGCTGCCAAAAATACACAAGAGCATCAAATGTGGATTAATCCATAGTCCCCAGCAAATGCACCATTTCCTCATTTCAGTTATATTTGCTAAATTATAGAGGATAGCTGTCTAAAGACATCTCCATTTAACATTTAAAGATTTACGTCTTCAGTAGCAGCCAATGGGCTTGAGTTTGAGAGCCACAGACATGGTAGGGAGGTCAGAAAGTATTGAGAGATGGACTAACACATTGTTGGTTTGGGTCATTTCATAAAAATATACTATAACACCAGCTTTATTTCTAAAGGGATAACTGGATTTTATTTGCATAAAGTTGGCCACCGATTCTATCAGTTATGATAACACCAGTTACTGAGATCCTGAGATTTTGGAACACCCGCAGCATTGCCAAAAATAGGTGAAACAAACACAAAGTGTGACATACAGAGAGGTTGTAAACAAACCTCCATGTAACCTGCATGTAGTAAAATTACTACTCAAACTATCTGTTGTAAACATCCACAACAGCTTTCAACCAAACTTTCTGGCACTTATGCGTAGTCCTGTGAAATTAGGTATTAAGTTAAATTTAAGTGACACTACTGCTGCACCCACTTTTGGTTTTACCTCCAAAGGACGCGGTAGCCAATCTGAACTAAATCTAAATCTAAACTGTCACCTTGTTTGCAACCTGTGTGATCATCTGACTGCTTGGGTTTCTTGGCTCATTGGATGTTTTTTTTAGTATTATTGCTGTGTCATCTCAGAAATCACTTTAGTGAGTACAGTTATAAGCCATTGAGCTAATGGCCAAGGCTCTTACAATAAAGTTGGATAAAGTAAGAAATAAAGTTGTAATAAACTGTAGCTGTCCTTTACAGTGTCATAGCGAAAAAACCTACCTAATATGTAGTCCAGCTTCATGAGAATAATGTGTTGTGTTTGCATGCTGTGTCTGCACAGTTTGAGGACATGAGGCACTGAAGTGGTGAGAAGCTGAACATGGGTGACTGGAACCTACTTGGCAGCATCCTAGAAGAGGTCCATATTCATTCCACTATCGTGGGCAAGATCTGGCTTACCATACTCTTCATCTTCCGCATGCTGATCCTGGGTGCGGCTGCTGAGGATGTATGGGACGACGAACAGTCCGAGTTTGTCTGCAACACTGACCAGCCTGGCTGCAAGGCGGTTTGTTACGATCGTGCCTTCCCCATCTCACTCATTCGCTTCTGGGTCCTGCAGGTCATCTTTGTCTCTGCCCCCTCACTGGTCTACATGGGCCATGCCCTCTACTGCATCAGAACACTGGAGAAGGAGCGCCACCGCAGACGGGCCCAGCTGAAGGAGGAGCTGGATGAAGCTGAGTTGGCCTTGGACGAACATAAGCGCATGGAGAGAGAGCTGAGGAGGCTGGACGAGCAGAGGAAGGTGAAGAAAGCTCCTCTCAGAGGCTCTCTGTTGAGAACCTACATCATCCATATCCTTACACGCTCTGTGGTGGAGGTCTGCTTCATCCTGGGCCAGTATATACTCTATGGTGTCCAACTGGAGCCACTATATAAGTGTGAGAGACTGCCTTGCCCCAACAGTGTAGACTGTTACATCTCAAGGCCCACAGAGAAGACCATCTTCATGGTCTTCATGATCGCTATTGCTGGTGTGTCACTTTTCCTCAACATTTTGGAAATATCCCACCTGGGCATCAGGAAGATCAAACAGACACTGTATGGAGAGAGGTACACGGAAGACGACAGTTTGATTTACAAGTCCAAGAAGAAGGCGTCCATACCACACCTCTGTGTAATGAGCAATGTATCGCCTCACAATGGGCCTTTGAGTCAGACCTTTAAAGTGATTCCAGAGGCGGACATGAAGCCTCCTCATTACAACACTGGCCTCAAAGCCAACCAGGACGTGCCAAGACACTACAGCTTGGCTGATCTGGGACATAGTCAGACCAGCTATATCTGCCCCCAACCTAGGATGCCACCAAGGTCTGGCCAGAACTGTGCAATCCAAGCCCCCCAAACCCATGAAGGTCTAGAGGTCCACACAGCCACGATGGACCACAATCCAACCTGGGTTTCTGCTGCGTCCAATGTGGAGGGAAGTACAACAAGCCATCATGAGGATCACCATGATGGAGAACACCCTCGCCCAAGCCATTTGGAAGCTCTACTGTCCACTAGCACCTTAAGGCCCAGCACTATCAGAGACCTGGATGAGGATGAGCGAAGGGAGTCAATGGGAAGTGAGGTCCTGATCCCTAATCCCAGAAAGACCAGCTTTATGACCAGGCTACCGTCTGAGAGCTTGTCCTCCATCAGTGGCTCCACAAGCCCGTCCTTACATACCTCAGAGGAGTCGGATGAACTGGGATCCCTGCAAGGAGACATGCCCATGATGCCGCCTGCAGGAGGCCGAAGAATGTCAATGGCAAGTAAAGAGCAGAGATTGTCTGATATGTCCACATCACATTTCACACCAGTCCAGAACATAGAAAGCAAAGTTATTAAGGACATGAGTATACCTGACAATCTGGATGCAGCTTATCCCCCACCTGGGTTTCATCTGCCATTTTGTCTAGAGCATAATAGTCTTTATCTAACTAAAATCATTGGTATCATTCGTAGTGTTATGGAGTATTTCCACTACTGAATTTGGTAAGTGACAGCAGAAGAGATGAAGTGGTGACTGAAGAGAGAAAGAGAGAGAGATGCCTCATTTCTGTTGATCTGGATTAAGCCCAGTAGTGACAAATTGGCAGCCTCTATCCATTCAATGTTCTCAGTGGAAGTGCTAAGAAGAAATCAAACAGTTCTGAAGTTATTTCAGATAATGGCCATCAGTTCAGACTGGGTCAAACAAATGAGAGGCCATTTGAAAAGCTAAACAACAACAACAAAAGAGAGGCAATATGCAAATGCTCCGTACTTGTATAGCGCCTTTCTAGTCTTTTTGACCACTCAAAGCGCTTTTACACTACATCTGCATTCACCAGTCACACACATTCATACACTGAGCCTAAGTGCTCAAACAGAAACTAACATTCACACTCACTCATACACTGGCGGAATAGCCGCCAGGGGCAAATCGGAGACACTTCGACATGCAACCAGGGGGAGCCAGGGATTGAACCGCCGACCTTCCGATTAACGGCCAACCCGCTCTACCTCCTGAGCCACAGCCACAGCCGCCCCTGGTGCTGGTATTACAGCAGTGCACACAATTGACAACTTGAATTTTACAAAGTAGTGTTTCTCATATGGAATCAGATAGATAAATAAAAAATGTTTGAACACATATAACTATAGTATGCAATCTAAACTAAATACATCTAAATATAAAATATATTTTATATTTAAGGCTGGGGTAAATCAAATACTCTGACACACACAAAAAATAGATGTGGTTTCTGTGGCTGTCGCAGGACTAAGAACAGCCAGTCATTTCATTCGGTCCCAGTGAAATGACTGGCTGGCCTGCCAGTCTACCAAACCTACCTGCGTGCACACTGCCCGTGCACTCACTGCACATGAACATGTGTTTGGGAGAGTGGCTTTGGAGGGGAACCTGATGGGAGGGGTGGGATTTGTTCGGTTGGATACTTTAAAAAATGTAGCTGTGCTGGGTTTTTCCAAGGTTAGCTTTATGTTTTCAAATGTAGGTTGTCCGTGGTTGTCAACAGGTAGTTGCATTATTCGTTATTCATGTCATTAAGTCAGCTGTTTGTTGCTGTTGTTCGGCTGGTTCATCATTCTATTTTGCTCTTCCCTGATATAAAATATTCCTTTAGACTGTCCAGCTACAGTCGAAGTCAAAGCTGTCTTTTTCTCTTTCTCAGAGCATGTTTCTGGATATCTCCTCTATCATGAAGAAGTGAAGTGACAAGGCTAACATCATGTCCATAGGAGCTGTGTTCCACAGCCCAGATGGGTCACAAACAGGGGAGAAATTGTATCAATGATCCAGCCATCAACATTGATCCACTGCTACAGTCACATGGGGCCAAAACCAGTCAAACATTCAGCCATGATGAAGCAGCAGACTCAGAGCTGAAGCCCAGTATGTTTTGGATTTGAAGCACCTTAGAACGCCTACAAATGGGTACTAACAGGAAAGGATTGAATCTTTTTGAAAATGTGGACATCTTTCCATGCGTTGGCTCAGTTTTTAAGATTGTGCAGAAACAACACAATGAATTATGGAGCACACTCCACCTTTCTGCTTCTGTAACATAGACTTTATAATCTTAAAATACTTTTTCTAAGTCAAAGACTTGAGTATACTCTGTGTGTATGTGTGTATAGTAATTTATATACAGTAATTTCATGGGAAATTATGATACTTTATATTATATTCAGATTAAATGCTTCTTAACAAAACAGCAATAATTTTGTCAACAGATATTTAATCAAAATCCACACACCAACACCACGCCGTAGAATTCTCATGCTCTTTATTTGTCAACAAAATTTGCCTAGACAAAATGTTGTTTTTTTCTTTAAAACGTTTTTCATATCAAATAAACAAAACATGACATGTTGTACAATATTTACAAAAAATATAAACAAAACACAGGTCATTTGAACATTCAAAGATAAAAAAGGAAATCAAAAATTCTGATTCTGCATTTAACAGTCATGTTGCAGATCAAAAAAAGGACATGTAAAAAATAGCTCACCAAAATTACAAATACAATGAAGATTCCACTGTAAAAAGTTAGAAACAACGCCACAAACTGTCTACATGTCTATCATACAGTCCTTACCCATAAGAAGAGGTATGCTGAATCATCCAGGTAGATAAGTGCTTAGAGTCTGTCAACTTAGATTTAAAAAACCTAAACAAATCACAATCTGAGATTCAAGTGGCCCCAATTAACGCATCCTGTAAACACATGGGATTAAATAAGTACTTCCTTTAGTCTCCCACCAGTAATTGCATCTTGAGGCAGCTGATTCCAAAATACTAACTTCCCTAAGGAAGAACTCTTCCCTGATAACCACTGCTCAAGGTTTAAACAATAACTATTGTGCCTAGATTAGCATTGTTTTCAGAGGTGTTGGAAATCTATTTTGAAAAATGCAATGTTACAGCTATTCAATTGACTGTTCAGAGTAGCTGTTCAGTCCCAAGTTTGTTGTCATGAGTAATCTGATGTTATGTTAATATGACAGCATACTGTGTAAATCTGTGGTTTTCAATCAGGTACAAGAGGCTCTTGGTGCTCGATGCTACTGCACATTGCTAAGAACAACTGTTAGAAACACAATATTACAATAACCATACACATCATTTTCAAAATGCAATTAAAGGACAGTTTTTTGCAGTTACTACATCACTGCTGCTAAACATTTTCAAATTGTATTTTATGAATGTCATCCAGCTATTGCTTTTTATTTCATTCAGTACAGTTTGATAATTAACTTGCAGACACTTGAATGCTTGTGCAAGCTAATCTGTCACAAGGGACATCATCAGGTTTTTTTTCGTGGCATGGTGATGTAAAATTCTGCAATGCATTGCTATACAACAAAAATGTAACTCTGACATCAAAAGCATGTGATGGATTACTTAACTCTAAGTTTCAAGTCTCCATGAGTTACTGAAATCAAGTGAAACAACAACAACTGATCATAATTCTGAAATCTAGAATGTGCTTTAAAGAACGGTTGGCAGAAAAAAAAATGTATATGGAACTTGCAGTCAGTGGGCTAATACAAAAAAGATACCATTGCTATGTTATTCTATTATCACCATTTTAAAATTTCAAAATTGTATTGGTGTTACAGATGAGGCAGAACCAGTCAACTAATACTGCTAGACACTGATACATTTGCTGTCGTATGTATACGGAAGAGGATCAGGGTCGCCGAGTTCAGAGTTTAATATCAGAATGTCACAATTTCAATTAATTAATAACTCATGTTTTTTTAAATGTTAATAAGTGACTGTTCTTCAAAAATCTACATATTTTGCTCTAATCATGTTTCTTACTTATAAGAAATCAAATATTGTGCAGTGTCCATCTTATACCTGGACTCCTCAGAGTTGGACTTAAAATATTAGATATTTCACATGTCTGAAGTTCAGCTTTCAATGAAACAACATCTTGGGTGCAGCTTATCCCCCACCTGTCTTTGTTTAGCACAAGGATTCTCTTGGTAAACTGAAAAAGTCAAAATGAACCACAGAGTCATTTCATGGCATCTGTTTTATGTTCGGCAAAAAGCACATAAGGTGCAAAAAAAGGATAATTAAATACTACAAAATGATATGATGCCTCATTTTGATGTTAACTCAATATTAAATAAATAAAAAATATGTTATGTAACAAATAATTAAGTGGATAAATAGACACAAAATATATAATGTAGCCATGAAATTGTAAAATAATCCCAAAATATTTAAAAAAGCTGATTAGTGTTAAATGTTATTTATTTTCACGATAACAATTTATTATAAGTCATTTTTTTATTCCAGCTGTATGTTTTTATTTCAAGTAGTGTTTTCAAACTGTGTAAGTATTTCACACTTTCATGGTTATATTACATATTTTGTCTGTATTTATTCATACGTTTTTTCATTTAATACTGAATACTTTAGGTCTCCATATTATTTTTTTGGGGGGGGGGTTCTTGAATGGACTTTTAGTCACAAAAGGGACCTTTATGAATAATGAAAAAAAGTCTTAATAAAGTTATAGTGTTTGTCTTTCTCTTTCGAGGCTTCATCTCAGACAAAAACAGCAGGGTCAGAAGGGGGCAACATCCACATTTTATGACACTTTTGCAAAGCAGTTTGTCAAAGCTGCAGTGTAGTTTCCACTGAATAAAACCCTTTGTTCCCTTATTGGATAGTTTGGCCTCTGTAACCTCTAAGGCAAGAAAATGTAGCTGCATTTGTCAGATACTTATTTTTCTCACAAAATAATCAACCCTTTTAACTTATGTAAATAAAAAAGAGCTTTATCAGCTTTTCTTTTAAATTAATTCTCAGGTCAATTATATCTTCACAAAACAAAAAGAAAAGGTCGTTCACAACATTGTAAACATACACCCCTTTATGTTAAAATTTTACAACTTACATGTGTGACTTGTGAATGAGGACTTATTTTTCAGAAAAATTGTCAACAATAAAAAAATACAACCATTAACAAATCAATTCTAAGAAAGAGTAGCTACCTACATTTTACATCTATGCAATTTCCTCAACACCCGACCCCAACCACCACCACCAAGTCCAAATAAATAAATTAACAAGTTCACATTAAGGAATTAAAGTATATGAATACCAGCTGAGCAGTGTCCTTCAGTGTACTCTGAGCATATAGTACATTCGAATGAGATTACGATTGGCTAACAGTGTCCTGTGGTGATGTCATGGGCTGCTTTCCCTTCTGAGCAGGTTTGTTTTTATTTTTTAACTTTAGTTCATTCTAGTCTGTCAAAGCTAGTATGGTCAAGCTGTCATTGTTTTAATTTTATAACTCAAATAGCCCGCTTCTTTTCAAAGCTAGTAGTTTTACATTCACAAACTCAGCCATTTATTTGAAGTGCAACGAAATGTTTGCAATTGCAGTTTCAAATTCTAGTCTGATGTTCCTGTGCTAAAAGTGACTTCACCCTGACCCGGGACAAAAGACGCCCAAACACATCCGGTATTCAGATGCCATCGACATGCTCCACCATGAAGCTGACAGCGCAGCAGCAGAGTGCTGGGCAGCAACAAAGCAGATGGCAGCAGCACTCACCCTGCCACGTGCCTCACCATTGACTTTTCAACAGCAGATGAATTTGGCATCTCCCTAAATCAATAACGTGCCAGTGTGTTTGTTTGGAGCTTTGAACTTCATACCATGCACCATCAGGGATACTCATTTGTAAGTAGAAATTGATCATTTTGCTCAGTATTTGAACAAATTCACATATGATATGTGAATTTGAAAATGTAGGTGCCTAACACCAACATACTGTACCAAATCATTTTAGAAGGTATGTACAATACTAGAACAGTGCAGCAAAATACATGATTACTATAAGTATAAACACAATTCTTACTACTTATAAGACAATAAATAAATGGGTCCAAAAGAGCACTTTGTTTAAGCTGTTGTTTAAATGACCATACCAGTGTGTTCTGGCCCATTTAACATGGACCATGCATACGTCACATTACTACCATCCATTTTCCAAAGAAAACTGATAAGAAAAGTTATAGATTATTTTCTACCTTTCAGGTAGCTTCTGGTTCCCTTTATTTGACTCTATAGTAATATATACTATATAAATCAACTGGGAGAATTGCTTGAAATGATAAATCCATCACACTGAACATTACTGTTTGTATTTTTGATAATATTTTTTGATAGACTTTTCAAGTCAACCTTCTATAATAATTTAATTTAATAATATTAATTCATTTAAGTGCACAGTAAATCCCCACTCATTTATTTGCATTTTTAGAAAGAACTAGGAATTGATATAATAGTAACATAGTTGGATTTTCAGAGGAATTCAAATGTAATCATGTAAATCAATGTGTTGAAAACTTAAGTCTTTATAGTCAAGCGACTATAATTTTCACACTGAGCAGAAATTAATGAAATGAACTGAGACATGAGAAAATGGTCAGTAGAAATATGGTATAAACATTGGTATGGTCCTTTAATCTATTTGGACACCCAGTGATCGGCATGGGACATGTTTTACTGTAAATGCCAACGTCACAATGCGTTTGCTCATATTCAGTGCCAAATGTCACTTCCTGGAGGTGCTGGGCAGTGCTTCAACTTTGTAATGTAGTCTTGTCTCTTAGCGCAGATATGAAAAAAGGGAGAAGAGAAACATGTAGAAATGTCCATCTGAGTACAATAAAAAGTAAAAGTGAAGTTTGACTAAAGCAAATTTGCATAAGGAGTTCATTTGACCATTTCACCTAATGTAAAATTATACAAATACACACCTTTGGTAACATTTTACTTTAAAGTCCTGTGTCACTCAGCCATTACTGAATCATTAAAAATGTTAAGCCACATGACAAAATCTAAGCTGTTTCAAGTTGTACCATATATTGAATAACTTAAAGGACATCTGTCTGTTTGTTAACACGGAGCTGGAGTCAGGACATGGTTAGCCTCGCTTGGCATAAAGAGTGGAATAAGCCTGACTCTCACACCAAAAGTAAAAAAAAAAACTACCAACATCGCTAAAGCTGTACATTAACAGAAATGCAAAAACTACAATTTGTGATTTTAGTTAGAGTTACAGCAGTGCAGTGACAGCCTTCTGAAGTCTTGTGCCATGTTCACATCATACGGTTCGGACTATAATTATAAGCTGCAGACCAAAGCCTCTTAGCTGTAATTTATTGTCAGAGATATTGGGAAATTCTGTCGGCTACAACGTTTCCCTCTTGGTGAAAAGCACTACAGTAGTGTCAACTTCACACAGTAGTCGAAGTGGCTGCAAAACCACCATAGCTGGAATTTACATCTACTGTAAATAAAATTCAATATTAACACTAATACAATCAACATATCTAACTTAAACAGTTCGGATCTGGTTTGACTTGGTAACAAACCACTACAAGCATAAAACACTACAAAAGTAGCTCATTTAAGCTAGTTAAAATGTGTGACACTTTGTCCTTAGCTGAGGAACGTACTTAAAGGTGAATCACAAATTGTTACATTTCTACTCACGTATGGGTAAAACAAACAAGATACATAGTGTATGCTGAAAATTAAAACATGACTTAGAGGTCAAATATGAATTATGTACAACAAATCGTATGTACCAAAGTAATTATCAAGATTTGACAGGACTTTAAAGTAAAGCGCATGTACATGTTAACAGGGACATTTCTGAACATTCTGAGGAATTCCTGAGTATAACCTCCCATGATGCACGAGAGAGGGCTGGAAGCTGACAGGAAGAAAAGGTCAGGATTTGGCAGAAAGAAGAAGCGAGAAAGAGAGAGAAAGCTGCCAGTGCTTTTTGTTGTATTGCTGATAAGACAACGCTTGTGTCATCATTACAAAAAAGAAATATAAATACTTCGAATATCAAGGTTTAGACATGTATGAGTGTGTCATAGACCAAACCACCAGACTCTAAGTACAGTCCTGTCTCTTCTGTTCCTCAGTTGTGCATTTCTCAGTCATTTCCTGGCAGAAATCCACTGTTACAGTGGGGCTACATACTTTCTCAGTGGATCTAAGCACCAGTGGACGATCTGGATTCTTCTTCGCCAGACCTGACACCTCCAGGCCAGGCTGCCTGTCCTCCAGCCCCCCCTGACTGGGACCCACATCAGACAGACATGCAACGTCGCTTTGTTGTGACACAGGCGACCTTGGCTGGAACGAGCCCTCCTCAGAAGAAGGCGATGGTGGGTTGGATGTGAGGTCAATGCTGGCAGAGATCGGAGGCTGGTTGCCCTGCACCTCCATACACACTTGCTGGGACAGGAAGGAGAGGTTCTGCCACAGCTCAGACATACAAACCTTCAGCTGGTTGCGCTCAGTCAGCAGCTTCTCCTTCTCACACACCTGAATTCATAAGACACACAACATCAGGTCAGCATAACAAACAAATACTACACTTTATCAGGCATGCCAAGACGAACACATCAGGCCCAAGGCAATCTTTGTTAACCCAGAACCCTGTTTTAACAATCTATCTTAGTTTGTGTTCAGATCAACATCAGCACTGCATTAACAAAGCCATGTTGAATGTTGTTGAATGTATGTAAGCGTGCATTCCTGGTAGATTACTTGTATAATGTATTTCTGCTGTTTACCACACAATCGTTGCAACAACAGATAAAATAATTGTCTGTGACTATTTTGCAAACTGGTCTTCCTGGATTGCGTTTCATGTCACCTTAAACTACACGCACCCACACAAACACAGCCCCGTGTGTGTTTTGATGCAGAGTTGTTTTCAGTTTGAAAGCCTGCTTAATATTTAGGGAGTAAGTGACCTCTAGTGGCTGTGTAAATCATGACTAATGTCTGTGACAAGCAAAGGCAGAACTAGTGTGATGTTGATTTAAAGTCTCAAAACTACATAGGGAGGAGGTCAGGCTGATTGGATAGGTCCACAAAGCATGTGACTTTGACACAGGAGACTGCTGTTTCCTCTTACCTGACAACAGTCCTGCTGGTTTCTTTTAACCATGATCACAACCCTTAATCTTAAGTTAGTAGTAGTTCTTCTTTTAGCCGTAGTGATAAATCAATACATAATTAAATAAATAATAAAACAGACAAATAAGTATATTAAAACTCTTGATAAAGTAAAATCTGTCTGGCACAACGTGGTAACCAACTCCTCATGCTGTATACCAGGCTGTGGGGCAGGACCCCCGCCCCCCGCCCCCCAAAGGAAAACATCAAATGATCTATAATGCTGTAGTTATTTTCATCCAAACTGTAACCTTTACTTGCCTAAACCCAAACAAACCTTAACCATAACGATGGCAGATAACAACAGAATAGTTTTTTTTTGTGGTCCCTGCTGATTAGGCCATCAGACTCAAACACTAATATGGGTTGTTTTTAAAGACAATGTTTGTTGTTCTGTTTGGAGGACTTGCTGGGGATACGTCCCCTTTAAAGAATGGTTCCAGTTGATGAAAAAGTAGGTCTTATTTTCAAACTTTTCACTTCTATTGAGTATGAGAACATTGTACTCTCCAAGCAAATTGCTGTGATCAGAGAACATGACATTGTGACAAAGCCCAATGAGGTAAGAAACTTAAGCCAATGACTACAACAGTTTAGCTCTCTTTGTCTTATCCTAACCGACAGAAGTGATCATCAAAATTAAAATATGAAAATAAGACCAAAGATATAATAACCTGGAGTGATCCTTTAACCCTTCCTCTCTAGACAAAAGCTGCACCCCAGACAATCAAGTTGCACTTCCTGATGGTTGTCAACAGCTGACAAAGATGTAAGTGGGAAACCCCAGAAAACCTGATTTGTGACGTTCCACTTCAACACAATGATAGGGAAAGGTTAAATAAAATGTAATATTGTTAACGTATTGATTATGGTTAGAAGCAATCAGTTGATGCTAAACAATGGGATTGAGGACCTAACGTTCCACAAGTACTCTACAACACACTGAAAGCATAAGACCTGTTACATTATTTTGAAATTGTCTGTTTCTGTCATGTACCTTTGAGACTTGAGAAAATTGTGTGTGTGTGTGTGTGTGTGCTAATCAATGCTGTGCATTTGTTGTATGATCGTACCAGTTTGCGGATCTCACTTTCCAGGTTCTGGATGCAATCCAGCTTCCTCTTGCGACAGCGCTGGGCGGCGATACGGTTTTTGCTGCGACGGCGGATGTCGTGGATGAACTCAAGCTGCTCTGAGGTCAGCTTGTGCATCTTGATAAGGATCTGGAAGTCATTGCGTGGCAGGTTGGTGATGTGGTCCACAGGGAAGGGCAGCTTTACCTAAAAGACCACAGGGTTTTATTTCATTGCATAGGATTGCATCTGTTAATTAAAATAAATCACTTTCAATTAAATTCAATTCAATTTTATTTATATAATGCCAAATCAGAAGTGACTAGTTTTTCTGCATCATTTTTAGACAGGATGATCCTGATTTTTGCAATATTAGGTAGGTGAAAAAAGGCGGTCCTTGAAATTTGCTTTTTGTGAGAGTTAAAGGACATGTCCTGATCAAAAATAACTCCAAGATTCCTCACAGTCATCCAGGTTTTAACATCCTGAAGGCATTTGAAGTTTAGCTAACTGATGAGTTTCATCTGGTTTGATCGATAGATATACTGTAGGTCTATAGTTGGCTAAAACATCAGGATCAAATTTGGGCTTTTTCAGAAGAGGTTTAATTACAGCTACTTTAAAGTACTGTGGTACATAGCCTGTTGATAAAGATAGATTGATTATATCTAGCATAGAAGTGCTTACTAAGGGTAAAACATCTTTAACTGCTTCTAAGGTTCCTGAGTTTAGAGATAAGTTGATGCCAGTTGAGGGCAGGTCTTGGTGAATTTTGTCTCTAATAGCTAGAATTTTATCATTAAAGAAGCTCATGAAATCGTAACTACTGAGAGCTATGGGAATACTTGGCTCAATAGAGCTGTGACTCTCTGTCAGCCTGGCTACAGTGCTGAAAAGAAACCTGGGGTTGTTCCTATTTTCCTCTAATAATGACGAGTAGTACGCTGCTCTCACATTACAGAGGGCCTTCCTATAAGTTTTAAGACTATCTTGCCAAATTAAACGAGAATTTTCCACTTTGGTAGAACGCCAATTCCTCTCAAGTTTCCGCGATATTTGCTTTAATTTGCGAGTTTCAGTATTATACCATGGAGCTAACCGTCTTTGTTTTAGTATTTTCTTTTTTAGAGGGGCTACAGAGTCGAGTGTCATTCGCAGCGAGACTGCAGCACTATCAACAAGATGATCGATTTGGGAGGGACTGAAATTAGCATAGGAGTCCTCCGTTACTTTGTGACTTGATAATGAATTTAGAGCTGATGGAATCACATCCTTAAATTTAGCTACAGCACTATCAGACAGACATCTTGTATAGAAGCTTTTGCCCAATGGCGTGTAGTTCAGCAATACAAACTCAAAAGTTATCAAACAGTGGTCGGACAAAGAGGGATTCTGTGGAAACACCACTTAATGTTCAATTTCAATACCATACACCAAAACAAGGTCGAGGGTGTGGTTAAAACAGTGAGTCGGTTCATGAACACTCTGAGAGAAGCCAATGGAATCTAAGAGAGAGATAAACGCAGTACTGAAGCTGTCATTCTCAACGTCCACATGAATATTAAAATCCCCTACAACAATAACTTTGTCCGTTTTAAGGACTAAAGTTGACAAAATCAGAGTACAGACCAGGTGCTCGGTACACTATAATGAAGAGAATTGGTTGCAGTGATTTCCAACTTGGGTGTGAAAGACCAAGAACAAGGCTTTCAAATGAGTTATAGTTTAGTTTAGGTTTAGAGCTGATTAGTAGGCTAGAGTCGAAGATAGCTGCAACTCCACCTCCTCGGCCTGTGCCTCGAGGAATGTGAGTATTAATATGACTGGGAGGGGTGGATTCATTTAGGCTAACATATTCTCCACTTTGATCATTTCACCAACGTTCCATACTTTGGTCATGTAATGACAACTGAACAACCCCATTTACTGACAAAGACAATGACAATGAAAAAGATGAACCTTTAATTAGAATTATTTTGTCAAACTACTGTTTCGTGGTTAAAATGTATAGTTCATGCTTGTTTTGGTCACTAAAATCTATCTAATCCTCTGAATGTTCAGCTTCCAAAGTCCAGATGAGAGAAACTCTGAGTAAGTCAAAAGCCTAAATCCACAGACATAAAGAAGTCTATTGAATACTAGACACCGCTGTGTTTGCAGCAGAGGTGCAGGTGTGTGTGTGTGAGCAAGGGGAAAAGAGAACTAAAGGGAAATGTAGCTAGATAACTTAGCGAATAAACAGTAGAATAAGGTGGATAATAAAGTAATATTAAAATGGTGCACTTCCTGCATTGAAGTGCATTTTTCTGCACAAATTTATGGTGGTAGTGTCTTTATTTATATAAAGTGAAACCCAAAGCGGAAGGTGACAATTGAAAATATAAAACTATAATGGAATATAATTCAGTAAGGTTGCATTATATGCTGTATTGCTTTTAAAGAGGTGGTATTCTGCTTTTTGGCTTTCCCCCTCTCCTTTATTGAGTTATATATCTTTTTTGTGCATGTAATAGGTTTGCAAAGTGAAGAAGCCCAAAGTCCAGCCCGTTTGTAGTCCAACTGCTTCCCTTTCATCCATGTGATGTCAATGAAAGCTAAATGCGCCTCAGATAACACTCACCAAGCAGTTGCTAAGCTGGTCGGCAACATGTACAGCTGAACCGGAACCCTGTTTACCAGCTTCTCACTGACCCGCCCTTCTCTGCTTCTGATTGGCTAGTAGTCCTTCACTATGAACTGCGCATGTGCAACTCCCAACAAAGATAATTTAGAGACAAGATGTATCACTCCATAGCTAAAACGAAGCCTTCAACACAGGGTGAAAAGAGGAGCTGCAGCAATGTGCAGTATGACAAAAATATGGTGTTTTTTGAAAAATAAAACATGTAAAGCTGTTCTGGGACAACCCCTAAATAGGATTTTGAACCTGAAAATTTTTTTCTCATTTAATAAAATCTCTGCGGTGTAAACACATGATTTAGGGGGGCAAGTAACCTCTAACTGTGCATGTGGCACCTTTTCACGTCAATAATACATTTATTTATTTTAATACGGTTATAAACACCTGGATTTAATAGTTCCTGTGTTTCAGAAGGTTGCTGCTCATGTTCAAAACTGACACACAGTTATCAGTGGCTGCCGCAGGACTGTTAGAAGCATGGCCAATTATTTCCTGACTGAATAAAATTATTGGATGGTCTACCTGCCTACCTGCACACACTCTGCCGTGCACTCATTGCACATGACCGGAGATTTCCACAAGGCTAGGCAGACGTATTGCTAAAGCTAGCGAGCTAGTCACACAAGAATGGGAGAGAAAGTGCAGTCAAAGGGCCTTTCTCATTTCCCAAATTTCTGCCTCCTCGATCCTGTGTCCTTCAAGATGGAGCGCTGAGATCGATTTTCCGGTCACAGGCTGAAGATCGAGGAGTCGATTAACAATCTAATCATGTAATGTATAGCAATACAACAAAGCAAGAGTCATTTTGCTGACAGTACATCTTTACTTTTATGTAAGTAGGATTTTGAATGCAGGACTGTTATTTGTAATGGAGATACTTGTAATTGCTTTCTTTCTTAATTAAAGGATCTAAATACTTTGTACACAACTCAGTAATATGAGCAGCTTTCACATTAATTCCAAGAGGGCCTTGTGGTGTATTGTCCACTAGGTGTCAGTATTCAGCTGCTCATTGATCCCAGCAGCTCTGACACAAAGAGAACACAGAATCAGTCTTTGTTTAACAGTTTGCTGCTACTATTGGTCCTAATTGTCTTACTATTTTTTTCTTTACTTATATAAATCCAATTAATGTAATTTATTGTTTGTTTATTTACTTATGTATTGTTTGCATTTATGTGCATTTAAAATAATTTTGTTATCTCTCATACGTGTCATTTGTTTACGCCTTCTTTTCTTTTTTTTTGTTTACGCCTTCTTTTTTTTCTTTCATTCACTAGGTATTCCATGTTACACTGCAAGAGAATACATCACTCTACGACAGCAGCCCATTCCTTCATACCAGCAATGTTCAGGACAGTGCTGCCAGTTTACAACAATGACATCATTCACTGCTCTGATAACAGAGGAAAAGAGAGGCAATGTGTGTGTGTGTGGTGGTTTTTAGGTGCAGCCCATCCTTTACTCTATAGACATCTATATATAGCTCCATGACTCTCAGCAGTCACATAATAAGGTTGGAATGACAAAGTGAGCCTTGGATGGTCATAAATCCCCTCAGCAAGCTCTCTCTCTGGTGTTCTGGTTTCCATTTTTATCGTTGTATGTATCCTTTGAGACACTCATTGCTCTGGTGTTTAAAAAATAACATGTTCACATCAACATTTGTAATTTCATAAAACCAAAAGAATAAATGTGCTTAATTAATAATTAACTGTTAAACTGTTAAATATCCAGTTCAGTCTGATTCTACAGTGCATCCAAACCTACAGAAGAGAATTAGGGCCACATGATGTAACTGCATTTCAGTTCTGACATCAATATATGAGTACATGGACCATAATCACAGAGTGCGTTTACTTGTCTGGTTCGTATCCCAGTTATCTGAATCTATATCTTGTTTCAGATAAACTCGACATGATGCCTTGAGTCCTCCAATAGAAACCAGGATACTGTGGCATTATCTTGGTTTCTGGACATTCTTTTTTGATGATGACAAACCTGGATACTGTTGTGATTATATATACAAAGGTATGAATAACCAGGACCCTGTTTCAAAAAGCAGGCTTAACAAACTCTGAGCTTTTCGCTGAGCTCTTAGTTGACTGAGCCTGCGATGGGAAACTCAGAGTTTTCGGTTCCAGAACAGCTGATCAGAACAAGTTCAGTCAACTCTGAGTATGTTGAACCTGATGGAAGCGTGGGGATGAAAAAGCCATCATCAATGGAGCATTGATACTACGATTCACCATGGCAACTGGTAAATAAAGGCTGGATCGAACAGATAAGACAGTTTACTCATTGTATGCGGCATGTGAGCTTATTATTTTTCTCATAGTTTTTTGTTTTACTATGTGAGATGTATATTTTGAGTTAGAACTATATTAAAATAGAGTAATTTATTTTAAGTAATTTAAAAGTTAATTAATCATAATGGATAAATGTGTTTTGCATTGCACATGACTTAGTTAAGTTTACTGTATTGATGTAGAGCAGGCTGTTATATTGCTGCTTGTTCTTGTAACTG